TTGAAACACCAAGCATAAAAAAAGTGATTTTTCACAATCTAAGTTGCTGATGTTTTTCGTTTTAGGTATGGCGGTTCAGTACGGCGTTTGACACTGTGAACGAGTGGAAGTTTGCCAACATTTCCAGCATGGCTGACCACCTCAAGATGTGCACGTTTAACACCATAACACGGAGAGAAGAGGCTGTCCCACTTCCATGTATGAGTTTTACAAGAGAACTTACAAAAGAGGGACGCTCTCTACGTTCAGTGCTTAAACCGGTGATATAGACAGTAGTCAAAATGCAGAAGAGGATTTCATTTTAGAATACAACATGCCTTATGTGTTTAGGTGAACCATGGGATTTGTTTGGCAAAGGATTCATTAAAATAAGAGCCTAAACTTGATAAACCACTTTTGGAAGAGATGTTTTTTTAATAAACAATATCTACCTGCTGTATTGATGATGGTTGTGCTGTCTTGCATTTTTGAGACAATATATTCAGTGTTTTTTTTTAGTTTTTTTTAACAAATTCGTTGCTTTTGTTGAACTATGTAGCTTCAAACCAGAAACACTGAATTTTTTAAATGGTGATGACCAAACGGAAAACCATTGTCTGCATTTTTGTAATGCAGGAATACACAATCCAATTTCTATCATGTAGATCAGTGGTTCTCAACTGGTTTTACTTTTGGAACCAAATTTACATCCTACATGAAATGGTGACGTAAGGGTCCTGTTTTCTTTAACCTTGTGTAGTTTTCCTCCTTTAGAATGTATATCAAGCAAACTGTCCATTTTGGCATTTCATATAATAGTTGAGTTTGCTCCAAAATACATTAGAGTTTGATTAGATGTAGAGCAAAAGATATAGGAATTGTTTTCTCTTTATAAGTCCATTTATTTTACTATCCTACCTATGCATGACTATATAGTTAGTTGCATTTGCTTTTTTGAATTTGTATTTAGCATTGTTTTTTGTTTTTTTGCCTGCTGTCACAGTTTAGTTTTTTTTAACAAATTCGTTGCTTTTGTTGAACTATGTAGCTTCAAACCAGAAACACTGAATTTTTTAAATGGTGATGACCAAACGGAAAACCATTGTCTGCATTTTTGTAATGCAGGAATACACAATCCAATTTCTATCATGTAGATCAGTGGTTCTCAACTGGTTTTACTTTTGGACCCAAATTTACATCCTACATGAAATGGTGACGTAAGGGTCCTGTTTTCTTTAACCTTGTGTAGTTTTCCTCCTTTAGAATGTATATCAAGCAAACTGTCCATTTTGGCATTTCATATAATAGTTGAGTTTGCTCCAAAATACATTAGAGTTTGATTAGATGTAGAGCAAAAGATATAGGAATTGTTTTCTCTTTATAAGTCCATTTATTTTACTATCCTACCTATGCATGACTATATAGTTAGTTGCATTTGCTTTTTTGAATTTGTATTTAGCATTGTTTTTTGTTTTTTTGCCTGCTGTCACAGAACAGACAAGCAAACCACCATTTGAGAACCACTGATGTTGACTTTAACCTCCTGATTTCTCTCTCATTTAAAAGTCTTATACATTTTTCCCTTTTTATCAGTTTGTCAGAACGAACACATAACAGTTCATTCTCCGAGAAGCATTTATGGTATCCAGTTTTAGCTGTATACAATACACATAGTACTTGATACTGTCACACACAACACTTCCAGTGGTCATCCTCTGTGTCTTTTGAAAAGTAAACGGATTAATGTAAATGTACTTTATCTAAGTTGATGGCATGTGCTGTATTACAATCTTCCTGATGCTGAATCACTGCACAAAACCTGCAGGACAGGTACAAGACTGCAGTTGTAACCTGTTTTGTGGTGGCATACAGTGCATGTGCAGATGTACTTCTCTGTCTCTCAGGGGTTTAACATCAAGCATATGCCGTTATAGACAGTTTATCTGTTAGAAACTTGATGTGAGCTTGTGATTCTCTTCCACTTTTATTTGTTGATGGTTTAAAAGTCAAGTTTACAGTATGTTTTCAGGTGTGCAGTTACAGTGTTTCAGGTTGCTAACAGTCTGAAATGTTGCAATATTTTCAATCTTGTTTAAGGAATTAGCTGCGTGATATGTTTTACTGTATGTGCTTTCTGCCATTTTTGTTGTGTGATGACAATAGAGCAATATTCTGAAACGTTTGAGTTTCCGAATAATCGAATTCTAGCATCTTTGAGAACTGAAGAGTCATAAAACGCTTATTTTTAAAGACTTTATCAGAGTTAACATCAGTCGAAGTGCAACATGTTAATGTCTTTGAGGGTTTTTTTTTTTTGTTGTTGTTGCCGAAGGAACAAAATGCATTCATTTATTGCATCAACAGTCTGGGAGCATTTTATATTGTTCTATTTAAATATATTTACTCTAAGCGAAGTGCAACATGTTAATGTCTTTGAGGGTTTTTTTTTTGTTGTTGTTGCCGAAGGAACAAAATGCATTCATTTATTGCATCAACAGTCTGGGAGCATTTTATATTGTTCTATTTAAATATATTTACTCTAAGTTTTCCAGACATATATATCATTGTATGAGGGAACTCAGGTATTTAAAGAAGAACTGTGGAAAGTTTAGGTCGGAATCTTTACTTTTTTTTTGAAAGTAAGTGTACAGTTAATTTACCCTCCAAACCAACACTTTTTTTATAATACAGTTTTCATATTTGCGGTTTTATATGACCTGATAGTTCTCAAACCTCTTTTTCTATTGTAAATAATCAAAATGTGTGTCCATTTCTAGGTTAACCAACCTAAACAGTTCTTTCACATCAGTAGTTGTATCATCATTTGCATTTTTTAAATAATATTTTAATTTAATAAAGTGTGAGAAATCCAGGTTGCCTGTGTGCCATTTTATCAGGCTCCAGATATGCAGCGAACCAAGTGTCAAAGATGTAAAATAAAGTTAAGCAAAGCTGGCAGAGAAATTAATTTGCCAGTGTGAAATCAATCATGTAATGGGTGGATGGTAGTTTTTTAAGCACTGAAATATTAAAAGTATACTAATAAGTAGTGGATCCACATTTATCACTTAAGTGCATGATGTGGCTCTGATTTTACAGATATTTTATAATAGCATCACTCTATTTTTATGTTTGTAAAGTGCTTTACCACCAGATGGTGCTGCTGTATTCAGAATCAGAACATGCTAATCAAAAACCACAGGTCTTTTGAAGGGTACATTTCCTGAGAGAAATTTAATGAAACAATGAATTTTCTTTCTAAGGACAATATTTAATGTTCATTAAAGTTGGATCTGGCTTTTGATCCTCCCTCTCCTCTTTTTTGAAAACTAAAATATGGTCACCCTATCTCCGTATAATTGCGCATGTAGGCCGAAACATACACATAGACGTGAAAAACCATGATAAATGTCCTGTATGGATCCAGGGCTGAACTGTGGTCAGGTGGGCTCATCTGCTTCAGTAACCTTCATGGAAATTGGCTTTTACAGCAGAGTTAAGGGTTTAGACAGACAAATAATACACCCAGAACTATCACCACATTTCTTAAGCTAAATGAAGAAGCATAGCTTTCTGATGCCATAATGTTTTCAATAAATGATGCATGTCTTCGTAATAATCTTTACAGAGACAATGGATATATCCTTAAACCTTAAGGAGGGGTGTTTTTAGCAACAAATCTATTGTCTGCTCTGCATTGGAATTAGTATTATGTAATACCGTAATTACCAATTACATAATGAATGAAGGGTTCCTTAAACCATTACCTCATTAAACAGGCATTAGAGAAAAGTTTCCATCATCTCCTAAAACAAACAAGAACATTTAATGTAATCTTTAGATGTGTGGGCGGCTTTCATAGCATCCTGGTTAGAGAAAATAGAAACTTTTCAGTTTGCAACATTGTGACTGGAAAAAAAAAAAAAAAACGGAAAACATGTAGCTGACACAATAATCAGACAGGAGATTAAAAATAGCATCCTGTTCAAAACATCCTTAATTAATCATGCATTATTGATATTCAGTTGAGTTTGAGACTGATTAGGGGTAATCTTTTAATTAAATGATGCCTAAACAAGAATCCATTATCAAAATTTGTCTCAAAATACAGCAGGAACTTCTGAGACAAAAATATATATGTATTGCAATGCAGCTTTTCAAGTCAAATCCAACGAAGTTTAATGGTGACCCAGAAGCTTTTCACAACCGCAACAATATGAGTTAACAATATAATTGTAAGGACTTGCTCAGACACCAAAACACACAATATAGTGTCATATGTAAGATGCACACAGCAAACAAATGTATGAAACATATTTTGGAATAAAGATGGAGGAAACATCTACTACATGTCCAATATCAATGGAATTGGAAAAGAAACACTCCACTTGTGTGATTCCTTTTCAAATTGTTGCTTTTGCCCTATAGATGGACAACAGTGCAGTGCAATACATAGATGAGTTTGCAGCGGTTTAAAATGAAAACTCCTTGATGAATTTGTTTCTTAGAAACACACAGCTTTTCCACTTCACAAGGCATTATATTGATGTACTGTATATGGATTATTGTGATGTTTTTATCAGCTGTTTGGACTCTCATTCTGACGGCACTGCAGAGCATCCACCGGTGAGCAAGTGATGGAATGCTACATTTCTCCAAATCTGTTCCCGTTAAGAAACAAACCCATCTACATCTTGGGTGGCCCGAGGGTGAGAACATTTTCAGCAAATTTTCATTTTTGGGGGAGGAACTTTTCCTTTAAAGCAGACTTTGCATTGCTCAGAACTGATTGTCATAGTGAGAGAATGTGTACACTTTTTTTGACAGCAGTCTCTCTGGGAGGAAGTCGCATGGGGATCTGTCTGTACGGTCATCCTCTAGCGAACAGCTCACAGATAAACAAACACATCTGCACTGCAGTCGACTCCAGCTCCAGTTTGCGGAGCAGAAGACAGCGATGATGAAAGTCATCTCGGTGTGGGGTGCGAGATGCTCTTACACGGATGATGTAAGATGAAATCTTATGCAAAGAGCTCAAACTTCAGATCCCAGGCCTCCACGATCTCATCTGATTGAAGAGTCTCATGTGAAGTTGCCAGAAACATCCTCAGATATAAAGGAAAGAGGATAGACTATGAAAGCTTGTCTCTGCCACAGGACTGAAACAAAATATAAATGGCAGTTGTGACTTTTTTTCCCATGATTTTGAGTTTATATCTGGCGATTCTGACTTTTTTCTCAGAACTGCAAATTATAAACTCAGAATTCTGAAATATAACCTCAGAATTGTGAGAGAAAAAATAGTCAGAATTGCAAAGAAGAAAAGTCCAGATTGTGAGATAAAAAGCCACAATTACCGTTTCTGTCAGGACCACTATAGTCAAAGATGATTGACAATTAGCATACAGTTTGGATTGGCGGTATGGTTATGTTCTGGGCAAGAACTCCCTGCGCATCCATGCAGCCTAGCATGGGATGAGAGCAGGGAGAGCAGCGATAACCCCCCAGGGTAAACGGAACAGAACCAACATAAATGTATTGCAGATATCGTTAAAGTTCAATAATGTTATGCAAACATTTTAGAATTAGTCTGATTCAAAGGAGAATCAGAAGGCTGAATCCTGACTGACAGAGGAGGAGCTGGGGATGGAGGAGGGTAATTAGCTATTGAGCAATGCGAAAACTGCTGATACTACTGCGGGACCTTATATATGAATACTTAGATAGGTGTCGTATTCCTATAGGTTGATGGGGATCAGCTGAAGCGAGCTTCACTAACGTGACCTGCCAGAACTAACGCTACGCTTGATTATTATTATTTCACTTTTTTATCCATTGGTGGAACCAAAAAATAGAACTGCAAGATGTAAATTCAGAATTGTGAGATGTAAACTCGGTCCAAATTATGAAGTGTCCATTTGATGCGCAATTCAGAATCTTGTAGGAAATAGTAGGTCATCTGGGAACTTTTTGCCTATTATTTTATGAATATTTGGGGCGTACTACTTTCACATACTGTTTTTGGTCTTCTATATATTAGGAAAGCATGTGATTTTGGATAGAGCCATATAATAGTAGGCTATATGAAGTTGTTTTGCTAGCATTCATAAGACATCAGGCCACCAGAGGCGTCAGAAACACATCAGTGGCCCTCAGCGTGTATCATGTGACATGATGCAGGTACCTGCCCGCCTCCAGACTCTGAGAAGGTTCCAGCTCATTCATCATCATCATCATCATCTCAGTGTCAGATGAGCTCTGATGTGCACATGTAGCTGCTCTCTCATCAGTCTGAGTGTGGATGTCGTCTGCGCTCCTGCAAAGATGAGCATGATGACAGATCATTTTGCATACTCTTTTACATAATATTGTCACTGCTTACATAATATTGCATTTTGCATAATAGATGATGTCTAATTAATTAGCAACGATCTCAAAGGCAAGCATCAATATTGTATTGCTTAAATTGGTTTAACCCATTCTTTTGTAGTTTTAGATTTTACATTTGTAGAAAAATCGTACTACATTTATTAAAAACCTATGCTGAAAATGACTTGTATAGTGGTCAATCAGTGGCATGATGACAGACATTTCAAAGAAAAACTAAGAAAAAGCAAGCAATCAAATAGTCACTTGAAATCTATCCATGCAATTAAGTTGTTAAATGCATAGCAGGTTTATTACAGTAAACTAAAATTGTTGCCATGAAAACTTTAGTTAATTGAAATAAAATAAACCTTAACTGAAATAAAATATAAAAATTTTTTAAAAAACTAATATTAAAAAAAATGTATAAGCACTACAGACAAATTTAAAAGAAAAAAAATTACTGAAACTTTAACCAAACAAAATGAAAACAGAAAATATAAAAATAAAAACTAATGGTGTCTCAGTTATAATAAGTAACATTGTCGCAAAGATCTACGGCAATGCTTATTCAAATTGTAATAATTATTTTTAGGATCGCTATGATTAAACATGAGCATACTGCCGTTATGTGCCTGTACTGAATTAGTCCAGATGCATGAAACAGATTGATTTGTGCTGCTCACAGTGAGGTCGAATATTAAATGCTCACTCATCAGTCTGTTAGTTCAGGTGTCACAGTGACTGACAGAATGACAAACTGCTGTGCACATGAACCAAACGATCTGGTGCAACTCACATTTTTCCTGTTGACAGGAGAGATTCTGCTACAGGTAGGATGGCACTGGATTCTCTGTTGTTCTGTGTCGACCTGAAAATGAAAAGTGAAAGTTCAATGTGATGCAGGTGTCGAACTGTAAAATGTCTGAAGCCTTTTCTTCTTTTCCCTGCAGCTGTCAAAGTGAAATATTCACTTCAGCAAAACAACTTGTTAAGGGGACAGGCAAAACAATCGACCTTAAAACAAAATGCACTTGTAATAGGGTGAGAAAAAGAGATGCCTTATTGTAAAAATCCTGCTCATTAGTGGATGCCTTTTCAGTGTTGCCAATTAAGAAAACCTTTCCTGTTGTATGAATACACTGTTTCAGTATCTAAAGTGGACATTTAAGTCACACTTCAAATGTTATTACACTAGTTAAAATATCAAACCAAGTGACGTTCATTTAAAAGAAAGTTGGTATAAGCGCAACTTTTCAAGCTTAAATTGACATTATGCATCCACTAAAAAACATTGCAACAAAAATGAGTAGTTCTGAGAAAAGCTTTTAAGCATTTCAGAAATATTAGTGCAGCATTTGAGTAAAGCTGCTAATCGGCTTGATATAATACAACAGCATTCATTCAATTGAATTGTGGCCACTGCATATTAAGAGCGAATACACAGCTTGAATTCCCTGAGGTCATGTAATGGTTTTGAAGTGGATGAAAGGTGGTGGTGGAGGAGAAGAGATTCGAACTAAATCAGAGAACGAGAGGAGAGACTGCAGATACTCACTCATACTCCTCTGGACACATGCTTACAAATGCAACGGGGCTGCAAAACATACAGACAGCAGAGTGAGAAAATCTCATAGCTGTCAACAAACCTGATCACACATGGGCATTACTTGGCCTTGTGAACTTTTCACACTTACACTACTTCAATTTGTCTACTAAAAAGGTCCAAAAGCGTATATGCATCACAAGAAATCAAATCAAAAAATCTTTCCCCCTAAACCATTATGAATATTTATCATTTGTAACACATCTCAAATCACTATTCATTATGTGGTACAATTATTATAAACATCTTTAGACAATTATTACATAAATAATAATAGCATTAAAAAATACGTATTGCTTTATTCAGCGATATACAAGCGATATTTCCATTCACATCATCATGTCTCATATTTCATCTCAAGTTCTTCAGTGTCACTGTTTTCTTGTTGATAAACAAATACACTAATCTTTGAAGAATTTTAGTACTGCCAAAATTATTGATTGTGGTGGAAATTAGACTATAACTGAGGGAAGTTCAGAATATGTGTGAAATAATTTAATTTAATATTTTATTTTATTTTATTTTATTATTGATTATGGTAGAAATGACACCATAACTGATGGATAGTCGTAATTTGTGTGAAATTAAAAAATAGATATATTGATTGTGGTGGAAATGACACCATAAGTGATAATAAATTTATTTATTTTATTTTATTTTATTTTATTTTATTTTATTATTGATTATGGTAGAAATGACACCATAACTGATGGATAGTCATAATTTGTGTGAAATAAAAAAATAGATATATTGATTGTGGTGGAAATGACACCATAAGTGAGGGGTAGTCGTAATTTTAATGAAAAGAAAGGAAAAGAAAAGATATCAAATAAATAATATAAAATAAAATAAACTTAAATTAAATAAAAAATTGCTGATTGCAATGGAAATGACACAATAACTCAGGGATAGCTGTAATTTGGGAAAAATCTAATTAAAAAAATCATCCAAGAAATATAAATGTATGATTATTGCACTGTTTAGATCATTGTTAAAAAATATATTTTCTAAATATATATATAATGGATTTTCATAGTTTAACATTAAACAGCTGGGTCTGGGACAATAAAGAATATTGCAAAACATGAAAATAATCTAAAAAGTAGCAAAAATAAATTAAAGCAAAACAGTTTTAATTAGCATGTTTAATTTGAGTTTCAAAAGCAACTGTAGTTGACAAAACTACACCCATATGCAGTCACTCATACAATGAATCAGGACAAGTAATAATGACACTGACTCTGCAACAGCCAGTGAGAACAGCTGCTTTATTTCAATATTAAAGACTGCCGTGAACATGATAAATGTCCCGTCTCTTCATTTCCCCCACAATCTCACTAAACAGACACCTGACTGCTTTGTAATTAAATTCACATCCACGAGAGGGAAGCAGTATTTGCGTGTCGATGTTAAAGCGGCAGCTCCAGCATTCGAATGACACATGAATAGACCTTTAGTAATTAATGAACTTCTCAGCAAAACAGAAGCTGAGAAACATGTTTCCCATGAGGCCGAGCGATGACAGGAAGTTACCAGGACATACATATATGAAGTATAATACCGTTTATACTTGCACTTTTTAAACAAGATAAAAATCTGGAGATCTCAAAAAGATCTTGAATATTTGCACTAGGAAAGCTCACGTCTCTGAATGCTCTTCCTCCAGGATGGTCTGCACGGGCAGGTAGCCGAGCCGAGGGTGTTTGGTGAAATACTTCTTTGAGCGGAACTTGTTTTTCAGCACCTTGGTGAAGTCACGCACATCTTCTCCTGAGGTGGTCTGTAACAGAGAGGCTGTGAAATGTTCTGCTGTGCATGAAGAATTAGAGTGGCAGGGACTGGAGTGTTTAGGCTTAGAAAAATCAGGGGAAAAAATCCTAACAAAATTCAATATTAATGCACCTACACACACACACACACACACACAATAAAGTAGATATATAATATATATAATATTATTATACATAAAAAAATATATAGAGAGAGAGAGAGACTTATATTCTAAAATTTAATTAAACATAAAATATATAGTTATTAAATTGTATTATAATATTATGAAATAATAATCAAAAATATATTTTTTTATTAATTTTAAAAATATAAAAGATTTTCCAGATGATTTAGGGTGGTGTAACACCTGCACGATTCCCTCCCTAATGTTTTGAAGCATTTGCCACAATGAACCATCTGAAAACACAACCAAACACAAGCGTCTTCCAGATGCTCACAGGGGTGCAGTACTCCACCATTGGATAGCTGAGATGATAGTCCTTGGAAATCCTTCCCGAGAAAAAACATGTCTGACACACGTTGTAGTTGAAGTGTTTCAGACTTCGATACCTACAGGATTAACAGATGTTAAACACTACAACAGCTACGAACTTTGCAACACTGACACTGTCATTGAACTAAACTGAATCAACACTGAACTCAAATGAGTTGAACAATAACACTATTGTCTTCTGAAGTGCTGCTTATAGCTTGCTTTGAATTTGTTTCATAATTTAGGAATTTTGCAATATTAATGCTTTTATTTTCCTGTGTGAAGCTTCTCTAAAACAATCTGTATTGTATAAAGCGCTATATAATTAAATGTGACTTGACTTTTATGACACTGTCCACACAAATAAGATACATATTGGTGAACCATTACTTAATTTTTAAAATAAATGCACAAATATCATGTTCTCTGGACTGAGAACTGTTAGATAAGATATGCGTGACATCTCAATTTATGGGAAAAATTGCCAACTTGTTGTCCATTCTGGCATGTACATGTTTATTTATTTGAATAATATATTTGGTTGTAGAATTGTATATTTCAACACTGTTTATATATTTAATTATAATGTTCATTGTTAAAAAAAAATAATTAAATCACAGATTTCAGGGTTTTAAAATTATGTTTAGACACATTCCACTATGTGTATAATAATAATAATAATAAAAGTAAATGTGTTTTTATTAATAATGTCTTTAATAATAATAATAATAATAACAATAATAATAAAGACATTATTAATAAAAACAATAATAAAAACACTTTTACTTTTATTTTTATTTTTATTATGATACACATAGTGGAATGTGTCTAAACAGTTTTAAAACCCTGAAATTTGTGATTTAATTATTTTTTAACAATGAACATCATAATTAAATATATAAACAGTGTTGAAATATAAAATTCTATAACAAAATATACTATTAAAAGAAATCAAATCATAAATAACATTAATAACTATAATAATAATATCATTGTTATTTATTATTTTACTGTACAATTTAATAATAATAATAGCTAAAATGCTATTTTGAGGTTGACAAACAACATTGTCTGAAGATTATGCACCTCCTTTGCTGAAGAAAATGACATTTTAAGAGTTTCTGTCTACTTCACTTTGTTTACCTGAAGCCCACCATGGGACACTCCTTACAGATGTTGCATTTGGCCTGATGTTTGGCGGTTTCTGCAGCGGTGACTCTGTGAAGGACAGGCAACCAGACCATCGACTGCGGCTCCAAATGCATCCAGTCCACAAACTGCTGTACCTCAATGACATCATCACGGCCCACCTGAACCCCAGACGACAGACAAACCCTTCATTCATAACCACAATGCACTGCACGACACACTATAATGGAGCTGTCTGAGTCTAAAAGCACTCAGATGGTCTATTTATCATTTTAGAAGCGTATTCAACTACATCCCAAAAACTATAATATCCCATCACAACCTTATTAGCCCGAGGGCAAGGGAGCCATTAGCAATTTTGAAGTGAAGCAAATGGGGCCAATTGTGATCATTTGTGTCTCCCCCGTGACATTAAAACTGCTACTACTGTTATGCATCAATTACAGCGGGCCAGTTAAGGCAGGACTATCAAGAGTCTTTCATTACATGCAACATTAAATGAAAAGAGCTCCACTGTGACCCAAGTAAAGCAGTGAAGTATTGGAGGCGCCGTCCAGGGCGGATTTATAAATACTCCATTATACCAGCGCATGTGGTTCACATCATAAAGCACTCCATCATGTGATATTATGGGAACGCGTGCGCACAAATCAAGTGGATTTCATTTAAATATCTCTCGGTAGCTTGTGCGTCAGCTGTCGAACCGAGTGCTAAGCTTCTGAAAGTGGTGATGTAAATCCCCTGGCAGGCCCGCCACTCTTATAACTGAGCTTATCATTTATTTATATGTCAGAACTCAGTGATGTGTAATGATGAGCCCCTATCCCCAAACAAACAAGTCTGAGCATGCGTTCAGCAGCTCCCTATAGGAATACATAATGTCTCACACACCTGAATTATGTATCATAGAAACCTGTTCATTAATTTGCATGTCAGAATTTTTGTTAAACCTTGTCATTTTTTAATGCACGCATGTGTTCTTTCACTTCCTCGGTAAATAAAGTAGAGATTTTGTTCTGGTCATATAATGGGGAAAAAAATATAAATCTTGGACATCAACCAGATGAACTATTTATTGCGCAGATGTTTCTTGGCCTTGAAAGAATCTGATGAGAAATGTTTGAGTTCATATTGAGATCTCTGATTTTTCAAGTGCACACTTTTGGCAAATCTGAGTTTAAAGTTGGTTTAAAATGTTGATATTTCAAATGTGAGATTGATAGACTTGTTCTCAGCAAGCTTGTTAAATAAATCTAAAACTATTAAAACATTTTGGATAGTTCCGGTCCTTGATTCTGATTGGCTGAGCCACGTTTGAAGCTGTTGTAAATTACTCTACAAACATACATGCTCGGCAACCACTTTGTTGCAACCACAACTGATTTTGAGGAACTACATTGTTTGGTGGAAGAATACTGTTTTTTATTAATATCATTACACTTTATTTGCTCGGTTTTATTTTGTGAAACCGTACTACGTATATGGAATATAACCGCTTTATAAAAGCAATAAGCCCCGTGAAGCTTCTTGGGGCTTATTGCTTTAATAAAATTAAATACAAATATTAGACAACAAAAATAAGTTAATGAAATAAGTTTAGCTTGAAGCACTAAAATAACTAACTGGAAATAAATAAAAACTAAAACAGAACTAAATCTAAAACTAAAACGGAAATGAAAGAAAATGAAACCTAAACAGTAATGTTTAAAAACAAACTAATAAAAATGACAAAAGCACATAACAAAATCACTAAATATAACTGAAAATATAAAGCTAATTCAAAATTATTAAAAAAACAGTCTATAAAAATACTAAAATAGCACTGGTTCTCATAAGTAAAATCTGACTAATTTGTCTCCATTTGATCTTGATGCTTTGGCAATTTACTGAAATATGTTTAGATTGAATCACTAAAATAACTAGCTACAATTAAATAAAACATAAATCAGAACTAAAACTGTAGTAAGTTAAACCTCAATAGTAATAAAAAAAAACTAATAAATATGGCAAAAGCACATAAAATGACTAATAATTCAACTAAAATTAAAATGATAACTGAAAATATAAAAACAAAAGCTAATTCAAAATATTAATAAAACTATAACAGTATATAAATAATGCTGAAATAACACTGTTAGGATGTTAGGATACTCATAGGTCTTCATTGAACCTGATCCAAAGATATGAAGAGAGATATCATCTCGTTTTTTAGCCTACAGTAGTGTTAACTCACATATTGAAAGCAGCTACGGACACTGGGCTCCATGTTACTCCCTCCGAATGCGGCGGCCTCCCCGAGCTGGTGTGGGATTTGGATGCTGTTGTGTAGCAGTAACGCCAGCCGCCTCTGGTTACAGACGCCTGCAGCGTCGGCCACCTGAGCGAACAGATCTGTGAAGGACAGCAGGAGAGAAACTCAAAGAACATCACAGGATGAGACCAGGAGGGTGATTTTAGACTTAAGATCCAATTTATAAATGTCCTTGTAGGAGCCACAGCAAGGACAGTGTTGCATTCAATTCCCAGTAGGTCTGAGACAGTGAAATCAAAGTTTGCAGTGAAATTGTGCACAGACATTAAAGCGAAGGAAAGAAGCCAGGGTTTCACAACATAATTTAATTAATTTATAAATTGAGAGCAGGATAGAATATTTTATGCCACATATATTCAGTATCAAAGCACTTGCATTTGTACTTATCCTTTAGAGGTCCTTTTGAAAGAGAAAACAAGCCAATCTTCATGGACAACACTTGAACTTTTCCACTTCTGTCACTATAAAAAAAACAGTAAGTGAAAGTGACGTGTGGCCAAGTATCAGTTCAATCTGAACAGGGGGTTTTTCCCAGTGTTTTTGATGTAAAAATAATTTTCTATGCCATTTAAAAATGTTTGTTGTGCAAACAAAACAGGGATGTTAGTTGCAGCAATAAACACACTGAATTCTGGCTCAACCTTCTGGCTACACTTACATTGACGCAACGGCAAAATATATTAAAACTGGTTATGTTTTTACTAAACAGTTTTGTGTCAGCTTGTCATCTTGGCAAAAATAGAAATATTGCTTTAGGACTGCAAAAGAAATTAACATAAAGCATTACATCAAATATGTATGAGAACAACCATTACAGAGGAGACTGTCTGCAATAGTTTAGAGGTCACGAGACGTACTTTTCAGTGGCACTAAAAAGCATTGAACAATTTATTCAGATTTAAAATTGTATATAAATGTCATTGCATTATTAGATAAAAAAAACATTAAACTAAGATATAAGCTTATTTCCAGAACTATGGACAAAACTGTGACAAAAAGTGTCACTTTTTACCTCTATTTTGAATTATATATCTATTGTTTTATCATTTTAAAGCAATTTTTTGTGTGATTGTGCTGGGAAATAAATGCCACTTTCTTTCTTTCAATATTATTTAATAAATGCCAATTCGTTATTCAGTGCATTAATACAGTTTTAAGCGTGACTTAGTAGGAATAGTTTACCCAAAAATGAAAATTTGCTGAAAATGTACTCACCCTCAGCCCACCCAAGACGTAAATGAGTTTGTTTCTTCATTTGGAGTAATTTAGCATTGCATCACTTGCTCACCAATTGATCCTCTGCAGTGAATGGGTGCCGTCAGAATGAGAGCAGCTGATAAAAACATCACAATAATCCACAAGTAATGTAAGGTATCCACAAACTAATAAACAACTCGATCATTAAGATTTTTATAACTTCAAAGAAGTTATACATGTGACCCTGGAGCACAAAACCAGTCTTAAATCGCTGGGGTATATTTTTAACAATAGCCAAAAAAACATTGTGTGGGTCAAAATTTTGATTTTTCTTTTATGCCAAAAATCATTATGATATTAAGTAAAGATCATGTTCCATGAAGATATTTTGTAAATTTCTTACCGTAAATATATCAAAACTTAATTTTTGATTAGTAATATGCATTGCTAAGAACTTAATTTGGACAATTTTCTCACTCTCAGATTCCAGATTTTCAAATAGTTTTATCTCGGCCAAATATTGTCCTAACAAACCATACATCAATAGAAAATGTACCCTTATGACTGGTTTTGTGGTCCAGGGTCACATATGAGTCCTTTATCCATAATATTGCTTTCTCCATTAAAAAAAAATAATCTCGTCTGATTCAGGAGAGAAATATGCATAGATCAATGGTGGATTTGTTTCTTACAAACATGCAGCTGTTAGCTTCACAAGATGTCAACTGATGGACTGGAGTGTGTGGATTATTGTGATGTTTTTATCAGCTGTTTGGACTCTCATTCTGACGGCACCCATTCACTGCAGTGCATCCATTGGTGAGCAAGTGATAGAATGTTAAATTTCTCCAAATCTGTTCCGAAAATCAAACTCATCTACATCTAGGATAGCCCGAGGGTGAGTACATTTTCAGAAAATGTTCATTTTTGAGTGAACTATTCCTTTAGGTGTCTAAACATGTTTAAGGGCCACTACAGACAAGACCCATACAGACCTGTCATAGACTTTTAGCAGCCAGTTGAGACACAGATCCACACACAAAGGCACATTAACCAGATCCGGATGCACCTGCTGAAGTTCACGGTAGACTGTGCAGAGACAGTTTATGATGCCTGGAATCTCCAGTAGCTGGCCATTATGCGTGAGTTTGTGTTGATCAAAGACACTCTGGGCGATGCTGAGCTCCAAAAGGTCCACTGAAACAGACAGACAAATTTCATCTCCACTCATTTCTGCCTCCACAATGAATTCCATTCAGCACATTTTAATGAAAGTCACCAGTGCGTAACTCATCCGTTGGTGTGTAATGCAAATGCCGTACTGAAAAGGCAACAAAAAATTATCAGCATTCATCAGTTTTGCAACCAATTATACGTTTCAACAGCTACCCTTTCTCAACATTACCCATATCCGAAGATATGAAGCAAAAAACAGCTGCTGTCTGTTACCAAAAACCCCATCAGGCTAACCTGACTGAAGGCCATTTCTGCACAGCTTGTACTGTACTAATGTTGTCAGAGGGTGGCTTTCCGGCTCTAATGCTCTCAAAACTCCTACTGCAGATCAAAGGCTCATAGTTAGTGTACCAGAAACGTCTTGACAAAATTAGCAGATAGAGCTCAAGATTGCTTGGTTAATATTGTCTTTGTCTTCTGCAGTAATCTGTTTACTTCCAAAAGTCATTTCGAGTGAGAAGTGATGAGCGGTTTTTCACAATGACAGTAATTTGCAATGCAATGATAAATGTTTAGTACAAATCCCCAACAGAAGAACCAATGAACTTTTTTTTAGGAAAGTAAGAAGTATAAGACTTAAATGATAAGTTATCACTCACAGCAGAGGGCTTTCTGTAGCCGGCGGCTCTTCATCGCTGTGCGGTAAGCGGAGAAACACACATGGCTCAGATCAGCTGCATATTGAGGGTAGACCATAAAGGCTGGATGTGAATATTATTAATAAGAAAAGTCATAGTTCTCAAATTCAAATAATGAGCAAAATGTAAGAAAGCATGCATACTGTACATTTGGATTGTTTAGTGAAATACACAGAGAGAAAGACAGAACACTTGATTGACCGAAACAAGAACAAACCCATTGATTGAAATAACTGTGTCATCTTTGGATGATCCCACGAGGTGGTCTGCTGCTCATGACTGAAAGACAATTCATAATAACTAACATCAATTCACCTTAAAGGAATGTGCCATGGAAAATGTATTTTGGTTTCTGTCAAGCGGAAGAATCAAACTGCCAGAAAGATTCGGACGGTTTCTCAACACTTATTTAAAGGAGCCTTTTTTTAATAAGAAATCAATCCTTTTATTCTGTAAGGACATTAAAGACATTTATAATGTTGCAAAAAGATTTCTATGTGTATCTAATGATGTTGTTTTGAACTTTCTATTCATCAAAGAATGAAAAAAATATTAAGCGGCACAACTGTTCTCATCATTTGTAATAATAATAATCAGCATACTAGAATGATTTCTGAAGGAAATGATTGTAATACATTTTTAGTAAGCGTGACTGCAACTCGATTCAAATTTGATGAATAGATTCATTCTGATGCAAAACTGAGCACATGGGAAATCACACGAAGAGCATGAGGTGTCACAGCAGAGATGAGAACGTATGAAACAAAACTCACTTGATATAATAAGGAACGCCGTTATGAAAAACAGCTCTTTGCCAAGGGGACTGAACGGAAACTGGTTGGGAGACAGAAGGTTTCAAAGATAAAGTCATGACATTTGAAAAGCTTTCACCCAATACAGTTTTTATTGTATAGTGGAAACAAATGAAAAAGTATTTGTGACAAATCAGATTTTCCCCACTTTTTGACCAGTGATTTTTCAGAACTTTTTCAGATGTTTCCAGCTGACTGAATACATATGTTTTATGGGAAATTGCACTCCAAAAGAGCAATTTCTAGCCAATGAATTACTTCAGAGTTGAGTATAACTAAACAAATGTACATTACCGTTCAAAGGCTTTTTTATTGGTTTTGAAAGAAATTTCTTATGTTCATTTATTTGATCAAAAATACAGTAGAAATGGTTGTTTTGGAAAATATTATTACAGTTTAAAGTATATTTTAAAGTGTAATATATTCACATTTCTCATAATCTGTTCAGATGAAGAAACAAAGTCATCTACATCTTGGATAACCTGAGGGTGATTAAATGATTACTTTCATATGAGTACATTTATTTACATTTAGCATGACCATGGATGCATACAGCTTAAAGAGTCTGCAATGTATTTCGGATGGTGTTGTGCCCATTACTGCACATCTCAGAGTTTAACCAATATAACTCTGATGTTTGACGTTGTATGAGCAATAGACAGCATGGTCTGATGGCCTTGCACGTATGCAGTCCTCCACCTAATCTGACCTGGTGGAACCATTCAATCAAACAGATGCATTTACTCACATGAGACAGTTTGCTGACATATTTATTGAAATGCCCTTGTACAGTCAAATCTGAGTGTGATCTTTCACTGGATCTGCCTTATTCTATTCAAGGCTAAAATTACAAAGAAAATTTCATATTTGATCATCACATGAGACATGAGGGATGAGCCATCTGTCACATATCATAACAGTTGTATAATAGTTTTAAGTCTGTGGAGGTCAAACTGGAATAAAAATGAAGTCTAGAGGGTGAACACACTGACATCTGTAGTACTAGAGTAAATTTTCTCTCTTCTCTCAAAAACAATGGTAGAAAACGAATCGTAATAATTAATATTCTCAAATAGATGCTTATCATACAGTATACCTAATAGTTGAACAGTAAAGCATGTCATAAAAAACAAATAATAACAGAG